TGCTGCTAAGCAGGCACTTTATATACATGCTCTCTAATTCCCACAACAAACCTATGAGGAGGTTTTATTCCCATTATACAGATGGGGAACCCAAGGTTCCGTAAAGTGCCTACGCTGAGCTTCAGAGTAGTGTTGCTTCAAAGCTCATACTTTTTTTTTTTTGGTGGCTGGCTGGTATGGGGATCTGAGCCCTTGACCTTGTTGTTATAACATAAAGCTCATGCTTTTTTTAAAAGATGAGTGGTAAGGGGATCTTAACCCTTGACTTGTTGTCAGCACCATGCTCTCCCAAGTGAGCTAACCAGCCATCCCTATATGAGGATCCAAACCTGTGGCCTTGTTATCAGCACCACAGTCTCCCAAGTGAGCCACGGGACAGCCCAAAGCTCATACTTTTTACATTTGCTGTATCCCACTGCCTCCCCCATTTACTTCCACTTTTTGGTGAGGGAGCACCATTTTTCCTCAAGTCTTCCTTCTGGGTAGATCATCTAATGAACATTCTCATTTGAATGATGAGAAACAAAGAAGCTAATTAGCTGATCCAGAGTTATACAACTAGTTTGAAGTAAGGCCAAGTCAGGTTAGAATCCCTATCTCCTGAACACCAGTCCGTTGCTTTCTCTAAACACTGGGGTGTCAGATAGTATACTCAGTCCTTTTCTGCCTTTAGAGCTATGTAAAAAAGTTTAAAAACATAACTAGGGGCCGGCCCGTGGCTCACTCGGTAGAGTGCGGTGCTGATAACACCAAGGCCGCGGGTTGGGATCCCATATAGGGATGGCTGGTTTGCTCACTGGCTGAGCGTGGTGCTGACAACACCAAGCCAAGGGTTGAGATCCCCTTACCGGTCATCTTTTTAAAAAAAAAAAACATAACTAGTTCACTCCAAGGTAGGGTGGGATGTGCAGAGGTAACAACCCCACCACATCACCACATCATCCTCTGTATATTATAAATGGTTTCATATTTTACATTTTATTTATTTATTTATTTATTATTTTTTAAAGATGACCAGTAAGGGGATCTTAACCCTTGGTTTGGTGTTGTCAGCACCACGCTCAGTCAGTGAGCAAACCAGCCATCTCTATATAGAATCTGAACCCGTGGCCTTGGTGTTATCAGCACCACACTCTCCCGAGTGAGCCACGAGCCGGCCCTTCATATTTACGTTTTAAAAAAAAGTTTCTGGCATCTTGCCAGTACAGGGATCCCAACCCTTGACCTTTGTGTTATAACACCATGCTCTAGCCAACTGAGCTAACCGGCCAGCCCTGATTTTGTATTTAAATCAGTTCTATTTAGTTCTTAAGTTTATACACTCTCCACTATACCATTTGTATTGATGCCGTAAGAATTTAGTAAGAAAGTAGGCTTGTGGGTCCACCAGTTAGTTCCTTTAGGGTGGATGCAGGTAGGAATATTTCCAAAAGTGGGGGGCAGATTTGTGATTTATGGCAATATTAGTATTATTATTAAGTGCTCAGTAAATGTTAGAATAGTGCCTGGCACATATAATTCATTATGTGTGTTGTCTCATTTAATTCTTACAGTCCCCATTCTTTTCTCTACTTTATAATTGAGGAAACTAAGGCACAGAGAGTTTAAGGAACTTGCTGCAGATCACGCACCTAGTTAGGGGTGGAGTTGGGATATGAACCTGATCACAGTCTGAGCTCTTAGCCACCACCCTGCTTTGTCTACTAAAAAAAAAAAAAAAAAAAATTGGTGACCATCTAGTAGGTTTCTGGCTCAGGAACACATAGCAGGCTCAGGGAACTCCTAGGGACACCTGGAGAAAAAGGGGGCCCCATTGGAGGAGAAGATACCAGGCTGTAGAAGGGAAGCTGAAGCAAGCCTCGCTGTTGAGTTCTTCAACAGCCCTGAACTGCCCTTGAAAGAGCTGGGAGGTGGGAGTCAGGCAAAGGAAAGGCCAACCTATCAGTTGCAGTGTTGAGATGCAGCCACCAGGAGGCAGCAGAAAGCTTGAGGTGGGGAGCTCATCTCTCATCCTGGCCTTTCTACTTTAGGGCTCACTCGCTTTGACCTGCTGGGTGACTTTGGACGCTTCAACTGGCTGGGCAATTTCTACATCGTGTTCCTCTACAATGCAGCTTTTGCGGGCCTCACCACACTCTGTCTAGTGAAGACCTTCACTGCAGCTGTGCGGGCAGAGCTGATCCGGGCCTTCGGTGAGAGGGAGTAGGGGATGCAGGCTGGTGGAATGGTTATAAGATGGGGCACTCTGGACCAGTGGTCATCCCAGCAGGGGAGAGGGTGTGCTTCTTGCTTTGTGTGTAATGTACCTCATCCATCCATTCTGTGGCTTGGTTGTCTTATCCCCAAGGGACCGAACCTGTGCCCCACTTTTGACTGCCCACCTCCCCCTCTTCTCCAGGGCTGGACAGACTGCCACTGCCTGTCTCTGGTTTCCCCCGGGCATCTAGGAAGACCCAGCACCAGTGACCTCCAGCTGGGGGTGGGAGGGAGAAGTGGACACTGCCATCTGCTGCCTAGGCCTGGAGGGGAAACCGAGGGAAATTGGACCTTAGAACCTGGAATCTTAGAGGGTGGGGTGGTAGAGGGTAGCTGAGCCATCTGCACTGTTGCATAATCTGAGCCAGAGTTTGGGACCAGGCCCCCCTGCTTTTCAAGACTTAACTGTGGCCTCAGCATGGGGTGGGGCTGGGCAACTGGGTCTGGCTCCTGGTCCCAAATCTGTTTACACATCAATCTGCCTCACTGCTGTTCTGGGCCGTGCCCGTAGCCATGTTTACATTTGATGTGCAATAGGGTCGGGTGGGGGCAGGGAAGGGATTGGGCCAGGGCCAGACTTGGGAGGCAGGTGTCTCCCTTGCTTTGGCCCAGCAGAGCCTAAGCACTGTGCTATCCTGGAGGGGCTTTGGACCACTGGAGAAACTGAGGGCATAGAGAGGATGAGGCCGTACCCATCAGCAATAAAGTTGATCGCAGGGATTGCTTTGGTTTTTCTTTTTTTTTTTTTTTTTAAAAAAAAAGCCTGTCTCTGTGTCTATTTGAACAGCCTTGCTCCTACCAGTCCTGAGTCTACCAAGTGAGAGAAACAGAGTGGTCATGCCTACCATCTCTTTCCTTTCCTCCATCTGCATTATTAGTGTCCTTTGGGGACTTGGATCTGGTGTTAGGCCATACAGTTGGGCAGTGGGAAGCTCCTCTTCCCTTATATCTTTAAAGCTGGTTGGTTCCCTGACTCTTCCTTACACTCACATGGCCTTTTTTTTTTTGTATCTTGGGTATTAGGGGTAGAAGGGCATGGGC